TAACTGCATCATTACCATCTCCTTGATAAAATTTGGGGTGCTGAAGCAGAATGCTGGCATTTCCTCAGAAGTGAGGCAAATTTCATAGGTGAGGTAGCTTTTGCATCTAGTGTAATCATTTAATTCAGTCTTAGAATACAATAGCACTTTGTGCTTTTAGTGATATTCTTTGTAACCAATACAAGAAAAATTTTGGGTGCTGGACATTGTAGTTCATCAGAGGAAGTAGAGATATAGTTTGAGAAAAACACTTGGACCTATCCTCTGTGTCCCTGAACTTTTTCATTACTCTCTGATTCTGGAGTTTGGTCAGTGTCAATATTCCAGGAGAGTTCTTACACAATTTATCTCACCCTAATTTTTTTAAGTAAGCAATGTCATACTAGTGCCTTGATTGCATGCTCTTTCCTCCTTTAGAGAAAACCTACTTCAAACCTTCAAGGAAGGTTTCCCTTGCATAAATGGAAGAAGGCTCTACCCTGCAGCATCCTCCTCTTCCATGTGCCCACTTCTAGCTCTCAGGCAGTGTTGGCCTACTAGGTAAGAGATGGGTTTGTGTGCTTTAGAAACAAAGTTGCTTTATTGTGTCTTGGAATGGGTCAATGATGACAACCCAATTTCATGAAGAGAGCTGATGACATCAAAATAGTCATCCAGGTGTACGCTGAGGCCCAGCCAGGAGCACAGGGATATAGGAGGTCCCTTAACACTTTGGACTCCTCCAAGGGCACATGCCTCAAGTTCCCAGATACACTTGCCCTTTGTCTCCTGATCAGAACTTGAAAAAAACCTTGTGCACCTTCGTTGGCAAAAGTGATGCCAACAGTAATCTAGATGCATACTCAAATCTTGTACAAGTCTGCATGTCACCACCATTTCTGATGGCCCTGTCTGTTTTTGGTGTTTTGCAGGCATCTGGCAAGCCCACCTGGAGCCAAGCTGAAATCTTTGGTAAGTGTCATCATCTGGGCTAATGTCTTCCCTTAAAATTTGCCTGTGCCTTCAAGTATTGGCCACTGAGTCACAGCCAAACTCTATGGCTTGAGGTTAGGGAACAAAGAACCAAACAAGACAAGTAAGTGTCAAATATAAGTCAGTAATTTCTTCCATATTGACCTCTAACCTTATGAGGGGAAAGGAATTTCCTAGAGCACTGATAATTCATACCCACATCAATATGAGCACTCCTCAGGAATAAGAGAGGATAACTCTCTCCTGAACAAGGCGGCTCTCTCTTGGTTGGCCAAATAGTGAGGAGTCACAGGATATCAAAAGAGAATTTCAGGCTAGTCCTCAGTTCACTGTATCTTATGACCATGGACAATCAAGGTGCAGAGCCTTGATTAAATTGCAAAAAGTAGTCTACAAATCCCCTGCCTTGCCAAACAACATATGAAGTCTTCCCAATTGTCCAAACATTGACTCAATATTCCAACTATTCTCATTTCAAAGTTAATTGGTTCATGTGCTTTAGTTGATATTTACTGTGTTGACATGGAACCACATCCTTCCCAAATTCCTTCCCTGAGTATGCTGCACCTCTCTCTACACTTCACTTGCCTATCGTTAATTTCAAAAACAAAATGCCAGCCTAGGAAGTTGTCTTTTGTCAAAATTTTTCTGATGTAACCTGAGGCCTCGGTGATTTGTGACAACTTTGCTCTGTTTGGACTCATGAACTAGGGTCTTCTTTTCAGTTTAGTGTCATTCCCATCTGTTTCTCCTTACCAAATATGGATCCATGACAGAACACTTTTCACTCTCCATGAGCCTCCAACTCACTGTAGTGTTCAAGAAGCAGTGTTGCCCAATGAATTTAAAAATGCAGGTTAGACCTTGCAGAGGAATGATAATGCCCATGCAGTTGAATGTGGAACACAGAGGTACCCTGAAAGAGACTCTACAGTCTACATGTAACTGCATCATTACCATCTCCTTGATGAAATTTGGGGTGCTGAAGCAGAATGCTGGCATTTCCTCAGAAGTGAGGCAAATTTCATAGGTGAGGTGGCTTTTGCATCTAGTGTAATCATTTAATTCAGTCTTAGAATACAATAGCACTTTGTGCTTTTAGTGACATTCTTTGTAACCTATACAAGAAAAATTTTGGGTGCTGGACATTGTAGTTCATCAGAGGGAGTAGAGATATAGTTTGAGAAAAACACTTGGACCTATCCTCTGTGTCCTTGAACTTTTTCATTACTCTCTGATTCTGGAGTCTGGTCAGTGTCAATATTCCAGGAGAGTTCTTACACAATTTATCTCACCCTAATTTTTTTAAGTAAGCAATGTCATACTA